GTGGGATTTCAAAGTGAAACCTTTACCAGTGTATCACTCTAAAAATCCCAGTGTGTTCAAGAAAAACAGTGTCATCAAGAGTAAACTGTGTGTGATGTGGAAGGCTAACAGTAAGGCATGGGTTATGAGGGAAATTTTCCTTGATTGGTTCAATGAAATGTTTGTCCTGAGTGTGAAGAAATTATCTCCTGGAAAATAAATTGGAACTCAAGTGCCTCCTGGTACTAGACAATGCTCCAGCTCATCCTCCAGACTCAGATAACTAAATTGTGGAGGAGTTTCGTTTCATCACAGTGAAGTTCTTGCCCCCTAATACCACTCCTCTCCTCCAGCCTATGGACCAGCAGATCATTTCAAACTTCAAAAAACTCTACACCAAAGCAATGTTTCAAAGGTGCTTTGAGAACCTCAGACACTGAATTGGCCCTAAAAGGGCTCTGGAAATATCACTTCAGTATCCTCCATTGTATAAACGTTATAGGTAAGGCTTGGGAGGGAGTGACTTCCAGGACTTTAAAACTCTGCTCGGAGAAAATTGTGGCCAGAATGTGTCCAACAGAGGGATTTTGAAGGGTTTGGGGCTGACCCTGACAAGCCTATGGCAGTTGCGGAAAGTACTGTGGCATTGGGGAATTCCATGGGGTTGGAGGCAAGTGGCGAGGATGTGGAAGAGTTTTGTGGAGGACCACAGGGAAGAGCTAACCACTGAAAAGCTGCAAGGCCTTTATCTGCAACAGCAACAGACCACAGCTCAGGAAATTGCTTCAGAGAAGGAGGAAGAGAGATGGAAGAAGGTGCCTTCTTCAAAGATTAAGGACATCTGTGCAAAGTAGAGTGAGGTGCAAACATTTATGGATGAACATCACCCTGACAAAGCTGTTGCAGGCCGTGTTGGCAACATGTACAATGACAATGTCGTGTCCCATTTTAGGGAAAATTTAAAGAAACGCCAGAAACAGAGCTGTCTGGAACAATTTTCTGAACGACAGGGGTCTAGTGACTCAAGTTGGTCTTAGTGGCATTAAAAAACAAAGAAGGGAAGTAACCCCAGAAAAGGACTTGGTACGTGAAGTCTTTATGGAAGGGGATTCCCCTACCAAACAATAGTAACTCCTCCATCCTCTCCTCTCCTCCCGTCTTCCATACATCAACAAGTCTTCAATAAAGCTAAGTGTCATGTTATTATTATTTATTCTTCATGTCTCATTGTTCTTTGTGTAGGTAAATGTATAATTCATGTAAAAATTTTTTTTTTTAATACTTTTGGGTGTCTGGAATGGATTAATTGGATTTACATTATTTCTCATGGGGAAAATGAATTCGGATATCGCCAAATTAGGTTTTAGTCACACTCTCTTGAACGGATTAATTATGATAACCAGAGGTCCACTGTATATTTATAGATGGGGTTGTAAGAGAAGTGAATGCTCGGGTGTTGGCAGGAGGTGTTGGGGTTAAAAGATAAAGAACTTAACACAAAAGTGGGAGTTGTCACAGCAGCTCTTTGCTGATGACACTGTGCTTCTGGGAGATTCTGAAGAGAAGTTGCAGAGGTTGGTAAGGTATGTAAAAGAAGAAAATTGAAAGTACATATACGTATAGGAAAGAGTAAGGTGATGAGGATAACAAAAAAATTTGGTAAAGAAAGATTGGATATCAGGTTGGAGGGAGAGAGTATGGAGGAGGTGAATGTATTCAGATATTTAGGAGTGGACATGTCAACAGATAGGTTTATGAAAGATGAGGTGAATCATAGAATTGATGACAGGAAAAAGGTGAGTGGTGCACTGAGGAGTCATAGGAAACAAAGAAGTTTGTCCATGGAAGCAAAGAGGGGAATGAAAGTATAGTTATACCAATGCTCTTATATGGGTATGAAGCATGGGTGGTAAATGTTGCAAGAAGGAGAAGGCTGGAGGCAGTGGAGACGTTGTGTCTGAGGGCAATGTGTGGTGTGAATGTAATGCAGAGAATTCATTGTTTGGAAATTAGGAGTTGCTGGATTACTAAAACTATTATCCACAGGACTGAGGAGGGGTTGTTGAGGTAGTTTAGATATGTAGAGAGGATGGAACAAAATAGAATGACTTCGAGAGTGTATAAACCTGTAGTGGAGGGAAGGCGATGTAGAGGTTGTCCTAAGAAAGGTTGGAGGGAAGGGGTCAAGGAGGTTGTGTGTGTGAGGGGCTTGGACTTCTAGCAAGCATGCGTGAGTGTGTTAGATAGGAGCAAATGGAGACAAATGGTTTTTAGGATTTGATGTTTTATTGGAGTGTGAGCAAGGTAATATTTACGAAGGGATTCAGGGAAACCAGCAGGCCAGACTTGAGTCCTAGAGATGGGAAGTACAGTGCCTGTACTCTCAAGGAGGGGTGTTAATGTTGCAGTTTTATAATTGAAGTGCAAGCACATCTCTGGCAAGACAGTGATGGAGTGGATGATGGTGAAAGTTTTTCTTTTTCGGGCTACCCTACCTTGGTGAGAAATGGCTGATGTGATAATAAAAAATACTATTCCAATTTAATAAACACTTGGGCAATCCTCCATTAGTCCAATTTAATATTAAAAACAGATTTCTGGGAATGTTTCCTTACACCTGCTGCCCATGTTCACATAGCATTAGTGGGTACTGCACCTGGGTTTTAGCTGTCTAGTGAGAGTTGCCTCCTGGGGAAGAGGATTAATGGACAGCAATAGAAATATAAGCCAGACAGTCTGATGACAGAGTTGCATTGGGTTATCCTGAGTTACTATCCTTCTGGGTTAATAATAGTCTGAATTAAATCTTCATTTTCAAGCTTATGTCTAGCATATGGAATTGACAAGTGGTGGCATTAATAGTTAAAAACCTAATTATATGATTATACAATATAATACGTATTTAATTGCAAGTTACTGAATCTAATAAGCTATTCAGTAATTCTAGTAATTCTGTGCCCTTAACATATATGTGCCCTTAAGGGTATCATAAAAAAATGCATATTTATGTATGTAAAGCCTAGCTAAAAGCTTAATCAAGGGAATCCTTGAGGCGTTCTTACTTGCCACTGTTATGTTACCTTGGTCAAATCACCATCATTTACTGCCTTTATATACCTATACTGATTATATGTAAATAAAAATGTAACCACTGAATATTAATCCAATTTTACGACATTCCTAAGTTTTAGCTACAAAAATATTTACCTATATGTAATAACTTATGTATAGTATGCAGAGTGAGCAAGTGAATTAGCAAGCAAAGTAAGCAAGGAAGCAAGCAAGCAGGTATAAGTAAAAAAGTAAATAAAAGCAAAAGTAAAAACAAAAAGTAAGTAAAAGGATGCAAAAGTAAAGTAAGGGTGGTGAGTGAGTAAAGGAAGCAAGTAAAAGTGTTTATTTAGGCACAATTACAAAATTTTTGGAAGAATTGCAATTATCTTACGTAATAAAAATCAGTAAAAATCAGCTATGATTATTAACAAATCAAAATAAACTGTGTAAATCAAATGCATGAAAATGAACTACAATAAAAAGAAATACAGTAAAAATGAAAAACTGAGTAAATCAAATACATGAAAATGAATTACATGAGCATTAAAATGAAAAGTCTATTTAGGTACAATCTTAGGATGATTATAATTGTCTTACACAGTAACATGTGTGAACTTCTTAGGATAACTCCCCCCAAAAAGCCAAAGTAACATATTTCTATTAGGGTCCTTGTAATGTCTCAAGTTTAGCAGCGTAACTAATGGATACAGTAAAAATACACCATGACTGTTGAGAAAATAAAACACTTAATACAATGCAAATAAGCTGAGTAAATAAAATACATGAAAAAAGAACTGCATAAGAATTGAAAAGAAAAAGCCAGTTGATTATTTATTATAATCATGGGGGAGTACTAAATCCATAGGGTTATACAGCACATGTGGGGGGGGGGATGGAAGGTATTCAGGCTCAATTCAGGGAACCGGAGAACGGATACCCTAAATCAAGAGCCCCTCACCAGCATCAAGGAACCTCCCTTGAGGAGAAAAGTCAGTTGATGTTACTTGAATATTAACTGTACAAGAAATTACATTCCTCCTTTTCTGTGGCTTTACTCATTAGGTACTTTTTATTTGTTTTCCTAAACTGGCATATGCTGACAGCAGCAACAGCCTTGTTGACCAGACAAGCATCAGAGGAGCCTGGCTCAAGACCAGACTCTGGGAGGAAAAACTCTCGAATATTAGTATATTACAAGGACCCCAATAAAACAAAACTATTTATTTGTTTAGTATACAATGTGTACTTCACACGTAATATTGTTAAGCACAACGAAAGCCACTAGCACGTATGTGCATTTCAGGCAGACAATAGATAAAAGTCCTTTTGTCTGACTTCTTTGAGATATTCTAGGTAATTTACACATTATTAGATATAATAATTGTACTTATTTGTACCTGTTCCTAGACAAACTTATTTAAGGTATATCAAGGACCACAATGGAAATACATCAGTTTGTCTGATTTTCTTGGGTTATCCTAAGGAATTTACATTATTATTATAATCAAGGGGGAAGCACTAAACCCGTAGGATTATACAGCGCCTATGGGGGGATGGAAGGCATTCAGGCTTAATTCAGGGAACTGGAGCACAGATCAAATTCCCTAGATCAAGAGCCCCTCACCAGCTAAGGAATTTACAAATATGCTATGTATAAAAATTTATGTAACTGTATTTATGTGTACTTGTACCTAAATAAACTTACTATCAACTGACACGATCAGGCAACAAGTTTCACTCTTTTATCGCTGTGTAAAAGGTGTTTGAAGCCTGATCACCTACTGCAGGTACTATAAAATTGTTCATTTCCTCTGGTACCATGCTGGGCCTTGGCTCCTAATCTTGAAAAAATCTGCAGCAAGTTATTGCGAACTTAGATATTGTAAACAGAATTCAAGATTCAACTGCCTTAAATGTTTAACTATACATTAAATCACTCCTTCCTCCCGGTATAGCACCTGATGTACCTTCTGGACGGTTAATTGATACCCAATGATGAATTCCTCATATGTACCGACAATAATTTCAACATTCCTGGCGGCCATGTGGCCAGCAGCCTCACACTCAGCCATTGTTTGTTTACACTGGACGGCATCCCCCTTTATGGGTCTGCCGGCGGACCCTTGGAATATTAGTTAAAACTTAAAAATGTTTATAAAACGGCTATATTAATTTTTCATAACTTCAGAAATGATGAAAAATAAAAAAAGCTAAAGTGATAAGGCGTTATATTATTTTTTTACTTAATTTTCTTTCCAAAAGAGGATTCTATGCTTATTTCTGTCTTTTACATTGCAGTTTTCTGTAATAAATACTTATGTTCTTTTTTTTTCATGTTTTATTTTCAGTAGTGGGTTTATAGACAATATTCTACAAACTTTATATAACAGATTTCATAAAACAGCTCTTTCAAGCATGTGGGATCTAATACCCTAAAGTACTTCCTATACAGTATGTAAAATGATAATAGTAATAATACATTTGTTGTTACCAAATCTATTAATAACATAAGTGGCTGCTGTAAATAGATAATAACTATTATAACTTATTCAACAGCACCATTATTAGCCCTTTAAATAATTTTATTTGATTTTACTTTAGGGGGAAGCGCTAAACCCATGAGATCATATATATAGCTCCTGGGAAATAAGAACTATTCAGGTTAATATAAGATTTTGTTGCGAATTCTAATTTTGGAGAGAGTTAGCCACCCAGGATAACCTGGTTGGCTAACTCTCTCCCGAGAGACTGTCGATGACCATTCTTATTGTTGCCCGTAGCCTGGTAGGCAAAGCTCTCTCTTCACACGCTGAATGTCCGGGTTCGATTCCTGGAAAGGGTAGAAACATTGGGTGTGTTTCCTTACACCTGTTGACCATGTTCCCCCATCAGTAAAATGGGTCCCTGTGTGTTAGTCGACTGGTGTAGGTCGCATCCTGGGACAAAACTGACCTAATTTGCCCGAAATGTTCAACATAACCAACGGCTTTCTATATAGTAGTATGTCATCGATGTCAGCTAGGACTGTATACCTTGTACATGTACTTGTAGAAACAGATATATTATTGTGGTCCTTTAATCTTGTCCCCAAGGATGCGACCCACACTAGTCAACTAACACCCAGGTACCTACCTGCTGGTAAGTGAACAAGGACAGCAGCTATAAGGAAAAATGCCAACGTTTCACCCGTGCCGGGGAGCGATCCCCGGCCCCTTAGTGTGTGACCTGAGTACGCTACTAAGCCACGAGCAAGGAAGTGGGAGATAAATCCCGTTCCCTGGATCAGAATCCCTTGACCCGCACCAAGGCACTTTCCCTGAGGGGCCTTTAGACAGGTGCGTTTGTAATGTTTTATATATGGGGAGCACTAAACCCACAGGGGTCATATAGTGCCTAGGAGACTTTCAGGTTCGATCCAAGGAAGGGAAGGGCAATTCTAATTCCTTGAATTAAGAACCCCTCAGTGGCATCAAAGAACATTCCCTGAAGGGTTTGTAACGTTAAATATGTCTCACTGTAATGTCTACGAAAGTTATAATCATAAAAATAATTTTTAAAGGAGTGAAGGAGTAAGCCAGAGGAAGGCTTTGCTCAGATGACCAAAAGCTCCAGTCAGGAAACACTTGTCCTGTTTCCTGACAAATCTTACTTAACCTGTAATGTCTAACTGAAGCCATTGTGTAAGTAACTTATTGTCGTTACTGTACCTTGTTCAGCTATCAAAACTTTGGTGTCCAGTCCCTGGACCCATTATGTACCTCTGTACTCTTTTGACTACCACCCACACCGTGGATATGGGGTGCATAATCCAGATGTTAAACTAAAAAACTGACGTTACTGAATCAGTCAATTTTCTGAAAAATTTTAACTTACTAAGCTAAGTAAAATTGAACTCAGTCCCTGGACCCATTATGCGCCTCTGTATTCTCTTAGCTATATATATAAATAATGGCCAATGGAGTTTTAGTGACCGAAAAAAAGAGGACATGTCCGAAGAAAAGCACAGGTACCTTCCTGTGTAATAATGTGGTGTAACAATGTTTGACTCGCTGCTGCGTCATCACAGTCAGGTGTTATTATTATTATTATTATAATCAACAGTCAGGTGTTCACTGTGTCTTATAAATCCAGTGAATAATTAAAATATATACGTCTAGTTGATATAATGAACACCTGTAGGTTCAAAAGATACGAAGTGTTGTCAATAGTATTGAAATGACATACAAAACAAGCTGTGGGTAGAACTTTATTAAGTCAGGTAAGTTGTACCTGACTTAATAAAGATCACAGTGAAAGTTTAATCTCCACCTGAACTCCCCTCAAGGAAGGTTCCTTGATGTTGGTGAGGGGCTCTTGATTTAGAGAATTGGATCTGTGCTCCAGTTCCCCGAATTAAGCCTGAATGCCTTCCACATCCCCCCCCCCCAGGCGCTGTATAATCCTCCGGGTTTAGCGCTTCCCCCTTGATTATAATAATAATCCACCTGAACTCAGTAAGTGTAAAAGGACCACGACTCTTCAAAATCCATTGTGCATACGGAATATTACTAACAAATCTCTGGCTGTCTTCAAGAAGGAACTCGAAAAGTTCCTAAACACAGTTCCTGATCAGCTAAGTAAGTAAGTAAGTAAGTTTATTCAGGTATACACAAATACAGTTACATAGAATTATCATACATAGCAGCATATGTGTAGAGAACCTAGGATAACCCAAAAAAGTCAGACAGAGTGACTTATTTCCAGCTGGGCTATGATGCATTTGTTGAACTGCAGGCGGAGGGCACTAACAGCTTGATCGACCAGGCCAGCAACCAGATCTGGTCTGGGACCGGGCCATGGGGGCGTTAACCCCCGGAAGCAACTGCAGGTTAAGCTCTTTTTTTCTTCAAGTTCGTGAGAGTTTAAGAGAAAAAAAAGGCAAGAAATATCACTTTTGAGGTAGCAACACAAAGGATAAGACAACACAATTTAGTTAAAAAATAGTTTATTTTATTAAATAAAATACAGTTGACGTGTGTATCAGCGTAAAAAAATCATTAAAAGAAGTATTCATTACGAAAATGTAATCCGTTCAAGTCTAGTAAAACAGCAGGAAATTGCTTTGTAGCAAACATTGTAAAGATTAAAAAGTTACGAGAAAAATGATAGATTTTATGACAAGCAAAGATCTTCTCAGAGAATTACACAGAAAATTTCCGTTACGTAGATGTAAGACATAAACGATTTGTTGAACTAAAATTCCTCTCGGTGTTTACACTCTGCCTGGTTCAGATGTTTCCAACTGAAAAATAATTATAAATAAATATAAGTGCCTTTATAAATTTAAACATCAATATACTTTATATTGTGTAGATGGTTTAATATTTTATATCTCAATATTATAAATTTATTTAAGTGAGAACAACATGTATTCAGGACATGTGTGGAAATTTATTCGGTCCTAAAGTTCCACATGGCAGATACGTTGTACAAAGGTCCCATCAGGTCGCGGATGGAACGGCTGGGTTGGGTGGCCCTTACACCCACCCAAAACACACACACACACACACACACACACACACACACACACACACACACACACACACACACGCACACACACACACACACCACACACACACACACACACCACAACACACACACACACACACACACACACACACCCGGGTTGGCGAAGGTGGTTGGAATGGTACATCTTAATTTATAGATTTACCCTTCAGGGAAGAAGTATGTAGTTTATACTGTTAGTACACTAATATTAGGATTATTGAGGCAACTGTAGATAATAATAATGTAGACCTAAGACCTTAACGTAGGTAGTAATAGGCCGATAATGTAGGCAAACACTAGGTTATGTTAACCTTGGAGAACTGGCAGCCCAAGTTTGAATGCTGGGCACTGGGTTTTGAGACGGCAGTGCCTTTCTAAGACCAGACACCATCGGAGCAACAAGTGCCGTGATCAGCAGGCGGCGCCCCCACGTGTCTTCACATACTAGACCTGGGGAAAACTGGTGGAGGCACCTCGAAGTACCGTTGATGACCTCCTCCGTCAGGCCCATACAGTAAGACGAGACCTCCCTTTTCTCTTTCAGCTTCTGGCCAGTTTCTAGGGGGAAATTGCGAGGGAGTTGAGCTGTGGGCCTTTGTGCAGGCAGGCAGCCCGTGACCAGTACGTACCAGCGACTCTCATCAGCCTTAGAAGCTAGTGTCACTTTCTGCATAGTTATACTAAGGGATACACCCCCCCCCCCTTAGACACGGATTTCTGAGGTGCAGGCAGGTCACTAATAACGACTGAATATTGCAGGAATTAAGGCTCCCGGTTGCACGTGGTTCTGAGGGGAAGTCCAGAGGGGCTAAAGCTTAGGAAGGTTGAAGACCGGAATATATTCTCCAACACCAAGTAAGTTAGCCCTTTATTCGTGCATGCAGGCGAGATTTTCTTGCAACATCAGTCATTTGTGGAAACCTGTCCTATAAGCCACTTGTGAGGCTGAGGTGCCGACCTCGGAGCTCTCACATGGAGGCAGTCTAGACAAATTTTCACAACATGTATACCTAAGGATGCATATATATATATAATATATATATATATATATATATATATATATATATATATATATATATATATATATATAATTTTACTTTGATCAGTATTTCTGGTAAAATATCCATTGAAGGCTTCCTCTACAATTTGTGCCTTTGTCTTCATAGCATAACAAGAAATAAATATATTTACTTACGGTGAGGGCGTAGGAACGAACAACCAGCAGGAAGTATATCTCAATGGCTGAGGCAACGAAGAGCACGAAGGCTGCCACGATGGATGCTGTGAGGAAGACTAAGACAATTCCCAGGGTGATGCTGAGACCCACCATCACAGCCGTCACCCACACCCAGGCCAGCACCAGTCCTCTACGCTCCTGACACAAACCAACATTAATAAACCACGAGTGCGGTTTGAATCCATGGCGAGTCGTAAAATTCATAGGCCAGTGCGTTAACCACTCGGCCAGCCAGCTGGCTATAATAAGATACACCCAAATAGGTATATTTGCCTACAACATAAGAAAGCTAGCATGGGCCCCATGCATGGGCCACCTGGCCGAGTGGTTAACGCAATGGCCTGTGACTTTAAGACTCAGATATACACATTAATGTAACAAATATTGCACTTTAATATCCAACAAAAAAAAAAAACGTAAACACTAACATTACAATAACCACAGCATTAATTTTATGTGCAAGTGACAAGATAAAATTTCTTGATTTATACTACCTGAATTATTATTATTATTATTATTCACAGGAAAGCTTGTATTCCTTGCAATGTAAGCGAGAAAGATATATTGTTATTTACAAATGGAAGATGCTGGAGGGACTTGTTTTATATCTGCACACTAAAATCACTTCTAATAAGAGCCGGAGGCATAGCAGATAAAAAAAATATGTGCCAGTGAAAAGCAAGGGTGCAATGAGTATAATGAGACAGGTATACTCCATTCCTGGAGTATACCTGGAAATATAAGGGGAATCACATTCACAATAAGTTGTTGATCACCTGAAGTGTGGTATGATGGACTGCCGATCACATCACAAGTGATCGTTATATATACCGACTGGAAAAATAGACACAAATGTAGTATAATGGTACTCTTGCTGGGGTTGAGTACTCAAGAGGAAGGTGGTAGTTGGTGTGTACTCAGAGGAAGCACTCAGGGGTACTCACTGTGCGGATGCCATGGATGAGGACGATGGCAATGATGAATTTGACGATGTTGATAGTCAGGTCCAGCCATCCCTCGACCACACCTGACAATATCAATATTTGATTATCAGTCTCCTCTCTCCCTCACACACACACACACACAGTGAAGAAGGGGCCAGAAGCTGAGTATCGACCCCTGCAACCACAAAATAGGTGAGTACACGCACACACTACTGAGAAGAATTGACAAGGTAGACGGGGACAATGTTTCAGAGATGGAACACAGCAATAGGGGGTGACAACTGGAAGTTGAAAAACTCAGATGTCACAGAGATGTTAGGAATTATTTATTCAGTCACAGAGCTGTTAGCAGGGAGAGTGGACCTAGTAGTGACTTGCGAAGAGGCCGGGCCAAGAGCTGCGACACGACCCTTGCAATGTCAAGTAGGTGAGTACAACACACACACACACACTCACATACAACAGGCCTAGTGTCGACTCGACATGTGCCTTGGACAAAATGGTAACTAACTAACATGGTCTACTCACCTGAAACTCCCAGGAATATGCTGTAGCCGCCACTGGCCGCTGCAAACACCTAGTTGAGGGTAAATACAAATTAATTCATCAGATACAATCTATTGTCGTCATATGTACATAAAGGTTTTAAATTATATATATATATATATATATATATATATATATATATATATATATATATATATATATATATAAATATATATATATATATATAATATATATATATATATATGTCGTGCCGAATAGGCAGAACTTGCGATTTTGGCTTAAATAGCAACGCTCATCTTCCCGTATAGACAAGTGAAAATTTGTGTATGCAATAATTTCGCCAAAATCATTCTTTTACTGGTTGGAGAGATGGTGGATGTGGCTGGTGGGAGAGATGGTGGATGTGGCTGGTGGGAGAGATGGTGGGTGTGGCTGGTGGGAGAGATGGTGGGTGTGGCTGGTGGGAGAGATGGTGGTAGTGACTGGTGGTAGTGACTGTTTAGTATTAAATTATTGTAAACAAATCTAAAATATATTTAGTTGGGTTAGGCTAAAATAAATTGCTCTTGTTATAACAAGGTTAGGTAAGTTTTCTAAGTTTCTTTTGGTGCAAAATTAAAAAAAATACATTAATATTAATGAAAAAAATATATCTTTAAACGTATAAGAGAAAATTTTGGAAAGGACTTAATTTTAGATGAGTCCTTGCTAATTGACCAGTTTTTATATATATATATAATAATATAAATATATAATATATATATATATATATATATATAATATATATATATATATATATATATATATATAAAACACTCCATAACCTCACGGTTAAACACAAGAACAGCTTCTTGGCCTGAATATAACAGTAAATTATATAGAACAACCTTAATCCTCTATATTAGCACAGGTAAATCAATATACATGATGTTAGTAAGCTTATTTAGGTACAGGTACACACGAGTACAATTATCATACCTAGTAACATCTGTGTAAATCACATAGGATAACCAAACAAAAAAAGTCAGACAAACTCAGTTATTTCCAAACTGGGGTCCTTATTACGCTAGAATCCCAGTTTTGCTTATCGTAAATAATTTACTATAACTTATGCAAAGACTTACGAAGTTAATTTCCTAGACCCCCTGTGTGTCTGTGTGATGTACTGACTACCACCTACAGGACTGACATGTGTTATGTATTATAAATGATGAATTAAATCACAAGGAGAACTAAGTTCACTGACCAGGCTCAGCACAGCTATGATGATGGAGGCTGTGCGAAGCGAGCACCCGCAGCAGCAGCTCTTCAATAAACACTTCTGGGATTCCATTCTGTCCATGAAAAATAAGCCAATTAATAAAATGAAATGATGCGCTTTGTAGAGAAAAATAAAGGTACGTAAATTTTCCTTTCAACCAGTATTATTATATTACGCTCAAAACTAAGCCCTAAATCCACATACAGCGCTGCTTTCAACCAGTAACGTTGCCAGGATTTCCTTCAAGGGAGGCTTAAGCCAGTATTTCATTCAGGGGAGGCTTAAGCCAGGACTTCATTTTGAAGGGGGGGGGGGCGGAAATGTATGTCTGCTCATCGAACTGTAGCCAACATAGTATACCTGGAGAAGGTTTCGGGGGTCAACGCCCCCGCGGCCCGGTCTGTGACCAGGCCTTCTGGTGGATCAGGGTCTGATCAACCAATGCAACGGGCCTATTGTATTCTTCTTCTAATTTTTCTTGTAAGTCAGGACTTACCTTTGATAATGTAAGTTGACGAGGGGTACTTGAGATATCGAGTACTACTGTGAAGTCTGGCACTACACTGACCGAAGAGGCACCGATGCCACCTTTTATACGCAGGGTCAGGTAGGGTCATGACGTCATAACACCGGAACTGCCTCATACGCTACAACCCAGGGAATATATATATATATATATATATATATATATATATATATATATATATATATATATATATATATATATATATATATATATATATATATCTGTTTAAAATTGAAGTTTGATTAACGTAGTGGCTAAAAGAAGTGTATGTGTAGCCTACTTCCCTCAGATATATTGATAAATATGTTGTTTTAATATATAGCACACAAATGGGATTTTTGGTGTCCAGGTCCAAATTTGCCCTTGCTTAACATCCTTCCCAGCGTTAACAATGGTATACCTGCGTGTTTCCAGTTTAACTCTTCCTTTGACGAAATTATCTGAGGATTTCCTTTTTACTATCTGTAAGAGTATTTATTTTTATTTCTGGGTTATTTTAGTTTCACACATAGTACCAATATTTATTGACCGTTCTGGCTCCTGTTTGATCTAGACTATTCTGGTTCCTAGCCCTTGTATTATAGATCATTATTTTTATCCTAGTTTTTGTACTATAGATCAGGTTTAATTCACACCAACTCATGTACCTGTCCAACTTATAATTAAATCTACCCAAAGTCCTTGTATCAGTAACGCTACTCGGGAGTTTGTTCCACTCATCTACAATTCTATTGCCAAATTAGTACTTCCAAACATCCTTTCTAAATTTATATTTCTCCATCTTAAATCCACTGCTGCGAGTCCTGTCTAGGTTACAGACTTTCAGCACACTACTTATATCGCCCTTTATTTATTCCTGTTTTCCACTTGTGCACTTCAGTATCTCTCCCATAATTCAACACCGTTGAACAGAGTGCAAGTTCAGTACTTTCAGCATATTTTCGTAGGGAAGGTTTTTAATACATGGAATCAACTTCATTAAATTTCTCTGTGTATTTTCCAGCGCATTATGTACATCGTGTAATACGGAGAGCAGAATTGAGCAACATAATCTAAATGAGGTCTAATCAAAGATATATAAAGTTGAAGTATAACCTGAGGCCTCATGTTATTTATACTTCTTAATATGAAGCCAAGAATTCTGTTAGTTTTATCGCGACCACCACTCAAGCCAGTGAGGAGCTCTTGATTAAACGAGTGGTACCTGATCTCCATGGATTGAACCTGACTGCCTCTCATACTCTAGGTGTTTTATGACTCCTACGGGTTTAGCGTTTTCCTCCTGCTCCTGAGTCGGTAGAAGAGGGTCTATGTGTTAAAAATATTGCGAACAATTATGAACGGTTGTGGCTTTAAATTTCTGCAAACAAGAACTCAGATCTGTTTCGCATTCACGTAGACTAAGCTCTACATTGTTTAGCTTATAAGTGCCATAGTTATTGTCTTTTCCTAGGATTAGAACCTTACACTTGTCTGTGTTCAACTGCATTAACCACTTCTCCGAGCACAACATTAACCTATCCAAATCATCTTGTAGCCTTCTAGAGTCCACATCAGATATTATTTACCAGCCCATTTTACCGTCATCGGTAAACTTCCTTACATCTCTGTTCTGTTTATTCCCTCTTCAATGTCGTTTATACAGAATGTGAACAATAAGGGTCCCAGCACTGACCCCTGTGGCACACCCATTCCGATTTCTCTCTATTGATGCAAACACTCAAATACCTTATAAGTGGTAAAGGTTATTAAATTCAAAAGGCAGGATCTCCTCTGTAAAACCGTGCTGAGATTCATTGATCAAATCATATTTTTCAAGGTGGCTTCGAATTGCATCAGCAATTTATGATTCCATCAACTTTCTCACAGTGAGGTTAGGCTGATTGGCCTGTACCTTGAAGCTAAGGACCTATCTCCCATTTTGTAAATGGGTGGTAACATTTGCCATTTTCAATTTATCCAGTACAATACTTGTTTGTAGTGATATGTTGAAGACTAGCTAATGATTTTCTAAGTTTCTCCTTAAATTCCTTTAGAACCATTGAATACAGCTCCCGTGGAAACTTATTGGGAGACCAAATAACTCCCAAAACGTTCCACGAAACGTTTCACAGTACATGAGCTTTACGAACCCTTAACACACACACTTAGCGACTGTACATAATATTTGATAACAAAAAAAGGCAGAATACCGTGACTGGAACGATACACAAATAACCCGCACGGCGACGTTTCGGTCCGACTTGGACTATTTACAGTCACACTAATATTTGAAGGAAGGTGTAGGTAGGTATACACAGTAGTAACTAACTGTAGATATTATTAATGTAGTCCTAGGAACTATTGTAATGTAATTAATGATAATAACGCTAAGTTAAGAGAATATGTGAAGTGAAATAAGTCGTTTGCTCCGAGTGAACACGTTAGACCTCGTTGTTAACGAGACGAGGAAAGGGAAACTCCTTGAGTCACGACGTCTAAAGCAGGACAAACCAGCGGATACCTCGTCCTGCTGGAATGAGAATCGTGTCGGTGTAGCAGGACATCGAAAATGAGATGGTGAATCAAGAAATGAGGAATATCAATCACCCACAGTTAAGTAACCCTTCTAGTTATAGCAACCTTAGACTGGCCAGTAGTGGTATGTTATAATTAGATAGGTTACGAGTGATCCAGCTACATCAAGTGACCACAGAGAACATCTGGTAAGTAGTGGGATTATGTACAAATGTTTTCCTTGACGGATGTATCCAGGTGTGTCCTACCCCCCCCCCCTTCATTCAGTTAAACTAATATAATCTATACAGTCCACAATTAATTAGTAGCACCGTACTTGTGGGTGCTACCCAATCCATACTGGTCTCGGATAGATATGGATAAGATTGTGAGGTCGAGGGGACCACTTGGTGCGACCAGGGGTGGTTAAGTTTTCTCACATGTCTACACGGGGTGACTACGGTAAACAATATGATTGTCTCCCAATGAGATTACTGGTATGTATATAATGTTGAGGTACATACAGGTAAACACCCTAGAAAATTTTCCATATCTGCCCGTTGTCAATCAGTCACTTAATTATTAAGTAATTAATTCAATTAATTTTTTCACTGATTGCATCCGGTTCGAAGGACCAACGGGCAGATATGGAAAATTTTCTAGGGTGTTTACCTGTATGTACCTCAACATTATATACATACCAGTAATCTCATTGGGAGACAATCATATTGTTTACCGTAGTCACCCCGTGTAGACATGTGAGAAAACTTAACCACCCCTGGTCGCACCAAGTGGTCCCCTCGACCTCACAATCTTATCCATATCTATCCGAGACCAGTATGGATTGGGTAGCACCCACAAGTACGGTGCTACTAATTAATTGTGGACTGTATAGATTATATTAGTTTAACTGAATGAAGGGGGGGGGGGTAGGACACACCTGGATACATCCGTCAAGGAAAACATTTGTACATAATCCCACTACTTACCAGATGTTCTCTGGTGGTCACTTGATGTAGCTGGATCACTCGTAACCTATCTAATTATAACATACCACTACTGGCCAGTCTAAGGTTGCTATAACTAGAAGGGTTACTTAACTGTGGGTGATTGATATTCCTCATTTCTTGATTCACCATCTCATTTTCGATGTCCTGCTACACCGACACGATTCTCATTCCAGCAGGACGAGGTATCCGCTGGTTTGTCCTGCTTTAGACGTCGTGACTCAAGGAGTTTCCCTTTCCTCGTCTCGTTAACAACGAGGTCTAACGTGTTCACTCGGAGCAAACGACTTATTTCACTTCACATATTCTCTTAACTTAGCGTTATTATCATTAATTACATTACAATTCACAAGACGATTTAACGTCTCATAACTATTATACAAACTAGAGGTCACTCCATTAAGATCTGAGACCGATGAGTGCTGATTAATCCAAGGGTAATTTTCCCCAGGACACAGTCCATTGTGACGCGTCAGTCACCCGCTCCTTCTCTTATCACACTTTTACCACTCTATTACTGTGGTCCCGTAAATCCTGTTCCCTCACTCTCCACCAGGAACAATTACGACACTTCTTATTATGAAATGAGGCCTGTATTAATCCTTAGGCCACCGTGAACGTCAATTTCGTGGTTCCATGTTTTCTCAGCTTCCTCACCACCATTCAAAACAACACGCGCCCCTCCCTCCCGCACATCCGCGCATGCGCAAAGGGAACTCTTGGTTCTACTCTTATTTTCAAATACATTTTTGACCCATATAGACACATTAAACACCTATTAGGCACTATAGTTTCGGAAAATTAAAAAATTTTCCACAGTAGTCCTAGGAACTAAAAATAGGTAGGATTAGGCCTTTAATATAGGCGAATATTAGCTAAAGAACTAGCAACCCAAAATTCAAATGAAGGTTGGGGTTTGAGAGACGCCAGCTCTCCAGTTGAAATTCAAACTTCAAGACGGGAAGATGTGCTGGGTCAAACTGCTCGGATTCCTACTAGAACACTTGGCCTGGAGACAACATCTTAAAAGGGGGCAGTTCGCATAGAAATTTCCATAGCTCCTCTGGGCCCAATGACTTATATGGCGTCAATCTATCTAGTTGTCTGAGAATCATGTCACTAGTGACTTTGATATTGCATAACTTATTTTCTTCCTGCCCAGTATAATTACTGGTCTCGGGGATTTCGTTTGTATCCTCTTGTGTAAAAACAGAGAGGAAATAAGTGTTGAAAAAAGGTACACATTTCTTTGTCACTTACAGTTAACTTACCTGAGTTACAGTTCAGTGAGCTTATCTTTTCCCTAATCTTATTCCTTTATACCTGAAAGAAACCCTTAGGATTGGACTTTGATTCCCCTGCAGCTTTAATTTCATATTCTACTTTGGCTTTCTTTATTCCTTTTCCCCTCTTAAATTGAATATATTGTTCAGTGAGGGGATCCCTCACCTCTTTGATTTGCTTCTAAATGCCTCTTTTCACCCACTATATTTTTTACTGCTTATAAATTTAGGATCATTCTCAGTTTATCTAAATTCTCTATTAGGAATATTTGTAGCTTGACCAGCTTGCACAATGCTTAGGAAAATGCCACATTGGCAGCCATCACCAT